TTCGCCAGTTGCTCTCCTCCAGTTAGTGTCAGTAAGCTGTGACGTCATTCAACATAACTGCCACCATTACATAGTACATATCAGTACTGTCTGTGCGTCAGTGTGCGTCATGCCCCAGCCTGGCACCAACAGTGCCTGTGCGTCATGCCCCAGCCTGGCACCAACACTGCCTGTGCGTCATGCCCCAGCCTGGCACCAACACTGCCTGTGCGTCATGCCCCAGCCTGGCACCAACACTGCCTGTGCGTCATGCCCCAGCCTGGCACCAACACTGCCTGTGCGTCATGCCCCAGCCTGGCACCAACACTGCCTGTGCGTCATGCCCCAGCCTGGCACCAACACTGCCAGTGCGTCATGCCCCAGCATGGCACCAACACTGCCAGTGCGTCATGCCTCAGCCTGGCACCAACACTGCCTGTGCGTCATGCCTCAGCCTGGCACCAACACTGCCTGTGCGTCATGCCCCAGCCTGGCACCAACACTGCCTGTGCGTCTTGCCCCAGCCTGGCACCAACACTGCCTGTGCGTCATGCCCCAGCCTGGCACCAACACTGCCTGTGCGTCATGCCTCAGCCTGGCACCAACACTGCCTGTGCGTCATGCCCCAGCCTGGCACCAACACTGCCTGTGCGTCATGCCCCAGCCAGGCACCAACACTGCCTGTGCGTCATGCCCCAGCCTGGCACCAACACTGCCTGTGCGTCATGCCCCAGCCTGGCACCAACACTGCCTGTGCGTCATGCCCCAGCCTGGCACCAACACTGCCTGTGCGTCATGCCCCAGCCTGGCACCAACACTGCCTGTGCGTCATGCCCCAGCCTGGCACCAACACTGCCTGTGCGTCATGCCCCAGCATGGCACCAACACTGCCTGTGCGTCATGCCCCAGCCTGGCACCAACACTGCCTGTGCGTCATGCCCCAGCCTGGCACCAACACTGCCTGTGCGTCATGCCCCAGCCTGGCACCAACACTGCCTGTGCGTCATGCCCCAGCCTGGCACCAACACTGCCTGTGCGTCATGCCCCAGCCTGGCACCAACACTGCCTGTGCGTCATGCCCCAGCCTGGCACCAACACTGCCTGTGCGTCATGCCCCAGCCTGGCACCAACACTGCCAGTGCGTCATGCCCCAGCATGGCACCAACACTGCCAGTGCGTCAGCACAGTACAAATCTGGATGCTCAGTTGTTTATATATTATATGCACCAGCAAAAATAACTGGGTTCGTCAAACTGAAAATATTATATCATTGTTTATATTCATAACTAGCTGTACCCGGCTACGCGTTGCTGTGGCACAGCGTTGCTGAGCCACAGCAACCTTCCCTTGTCTCCCAGTTCTCCCCACCATTCCCCCCCTCCCCCGTCCCCTCGTCCTCCACCACCATTCCCCACTCCCTCGTCTGATGATCAAATGATCTGATGTTCTCATCAGAAAATTGGGAACATTAAATGATTTGGGGCTAGATTCACGAAGAAGTTACGCAAACACTTACGAACCTGAACATCTTTTCTCAATCGGCTTTGTTTACAATTATTAAACAGTTAATGAGCTCCGAAGCACCAGGAGGCTGTTTATAACAATAACAACAGTTGATTGGCAAGTTTTCATGCTTGTAAACTGTTAAATAAATGTAACCAAAGCCGTCAAAGATTGAGGAACGATGTACACGTTCGTAAGTGCTTGCGTAACTGCTTCGTGAATCTGGCCCCCGATATTCCCATCACTGAAATATAAGAAAAACAGTTCAAAAAAACGAAATGAAAAATAATAAAAAAATAATAAAAATAAACTAATGAATTGAACGGTATGGTAAACAACACAGCTCAATTCCAAGACAATGTCACACAAAATAATTAAATCAAAATTAAAATAAATAGAAATTTATGAAAATTCAATTTATCAATGAAATCGGAAACAGTGAAAAGGAATCGTAACATATTTAGTATAGCATGTGTTGCTATTATGTGCAACAGATGGCGCTGTTTTTCAAAAACGCGTGTTTTTACCTGTCACAGGGGTGGCATCTATATAGTAGGCATATAAAAAGACGCGCCTATTCGGATGCATTACAAAATTAAAAATAAATACAAAAAACTTGTTCAAATTGTACATCGTGTTGAAACAGAGACGAATAAAGAATAGTATATATATTTTCGGGCTATATATATATATATATACGGAGCCGGTCGGCCGAGCGGACAGCACGCTGGACTTGTGATCCTGTGGTCCTGGGTTCGATCCCAGGTGCCGGCGAGAAACAATGGGCAGAGTTTCTTTCACCCTATGCCCCTGTTACCTAGCAGTAAAATAGGTACCTGGGTGTTAGTCAGCTGTCACGGGCTGCTTCCTGGGGGTGGAGGCCTGGTCGAGGACCGGGCCGCGGAGACACTAAAAAAAAAAGCCCCGAAATCATCTCAAGATAACAAATCATCATCTCAAGATATAGCCGGAAACGCTATGCGTATTAGTGGCTTTAGCTATTGTATGTTCCGGCTCTATCTATAAATCCAACATTACGTTTGTAAATCAACAATGTATGTACTTTTCCTGAATAAAAAATTATTATTTATTTTAATTATTTAATTATTTTTAGATTTGTTTTTCACTGCACTGTTGACACATCGGGTCCTATATAGGTCCTTTTCACAAGCTTGGGGTCCTATATAGGTCATTTTCACAAGCTTGGGGTCCTATATAGGTCCTTTTCACAAGCTTGGGGTCCTATATAGGTCCTTTTCACAAGCTTGGGGTCCTATATAGGTCCTTTTCACAAGCTTGGGGTCCTATATAGGTCCTTTTCACAAGCTTGGGGTCCTATATAGGTCCTTTTCACAAGCTTGGGGTCCTATATTGGTCCTTTTCACAAGCTTGGGGTCCTATATAGGTCCTTTTCACAAGCTTGGGGTCCTATATAGGTCCTTTTCACAAGCTTGGGGTCCTATATAGGTCCTTTTCACAAGCTTGGGGTCCTATATAGGTCCTTTTCACAAGCTTGGGGTCCTATATAGGTCCTTTTCACAAGCTTGGGGTCCTATATAGGTCCTTTTCACAAGCTTGGGGTCCTATATAGGTCCTTTTCACAAGCTTGGGGTCCTATATAGGTCCTTTTCACAAGCTTGCGGTCCTATATAGGTCCTTTTCACAAGCTTGCGGTCCTATATAGGTCCTTTTCACAAGCTTGGGGTCCTATATAGGTCCTTTTCACAAGCTTGGGGTCCTATATAGGTCCTTTTCACAAGCTTGGGGTCCTATATAGGTCCTTTTCACAAGCTTGGGGTCCTATATAGGTCCTTTTCACAAGCTTGGGGTCCTATATAGGTCCTTTTCACAAGCTTGGGGTCCTATATAGGTCCTTTTCACAAGCTTGGGGTCCTATATAGGTCCTTTTCACAAGCTTGGGGTCCTATATAGGTCCTTTTCACAAGCTTGGGGCCCTATATAGGTCCTTTTCACAAGCTTGGGGTCCTATATAGGTCCTTTTCACAAGCTTGGGGTCCTATATAGGTCCTTTTCACAAGCTTGGGGCCCTATATAGGTCCTTTTCACAAGCTTGGGGTCCTATATAGGTACTTTTCACAAGCTTGGGGCCCTATATAGGTCCTTTTCACAAGCTTGGGGTCCTATATAGGTCCTTTTCACAAGCTTGGGGCCCTATATAGGTCCTTTTCACAAGCTTGGGGTCCTATATAGGTCCTTTTCACAAGCTTGGGGTCCTATATAGGTCCTTTTCACAAGCTTGGGGTCCTATATAGGTCCTTTTCACAAGCTTGGGGTCCTATATAGGTCCTTTTCACAAGCTTGGGGTCCTATATAGGTCCTTTTCACAAGCTTGGGGTCCTATATAGGTCCTTTTCACAAGCTTGGGGTCCTATATAGGTCCTTTTCACAAGCTTGGGGTCCTATATAGGTCCTTTTCACAAGCTTGGGGTCCTATATAGGTCCTTTTCACAAGCTTGGGGTCCTATATAGGTCCCTTTCACAAGCTTGGGGTCCTATATAGGTCCCTTTCACAAGCTTGGGGTCCTATATAGGTCCTTTTCACAAGCTTGGGGTCCTATATAGGTCCTTTTCACAAGCTTGGGGTCCTATATAGGGCCCTTTCACAAGCTTGGGGTCCTATATAGGTCCTTTTCACAAGCTAGGGGTCCTATATAGGTCCCTTTCACAAGCTTGGGGTCCTATATAGGTGGGTCTTATATAGGTCCTTTTCACAAGCTTGGGGTCCTATATAGGTGGGTCTTATATAGGTCCTTTTCACAAGCTTAAGCTACTATTTCAAGCTGGTGTAGTGCTTAGCCCTTATGTATAGTGATTCAAATCCCCTCATAACTCGTGAGACAAATTAGCCAATCCTCAAAAACATTGGCCAAATGCTCGTTAATCCGGCATTCCTCCCACTTTTATGATATACATGGCTGATTATATTTACTCATGTTCGAAGAGCGCCTTTCTAAATGTCTCTCACACCTGCTACACACACATATAATTGTCAGCAGGACCAAATAGTTAACCCCAACCTACTTTACACTTAGCATAAAATACTAAGATATAATAACATGAATATGTACTTAACAAACTACAGTTTTGATTTGTCTTGATTTCACGGTTCGTTAAAATTTATGAACGCGTGTATGGGGTCAGCCTAAACAGAAGCTCCCCTATGACTCTGTAATGTCCCCATTGGTCAAACTATTATGTATTAGCGATAAGACCTACCATTAATGTATGATGACTTACTGTAAATATATAACTCTTGAAATAGCACTTTCTCTGTAACTAGCTGACATTGTAACTATAAGGTGTGAAGGATAGATGAAATTCTTTATGTAGTAATCTAAGATGAGGTCTGATAAAGACCTTTTGTGCCCTCTGGGACGAACATAGATAGCCTAAGGGTAGGTGAAAAAGTAGGTATTATTGAATCTATGTTGAGAAAGAATATATGACCCCCATACATTAAGTATAGCTAGTGGAACACAAAGTTTAGTCGTACTTACTGGAGCTGCCTCCTGAGACCTGAGCTTTCCAGGAGAAGCCTGTGTTGGAAACTTCGGACACCTTAATACCGCTGTAGACAGCCTGGACCTTGGAGAGGTTCGAATCAACTTGGCAAGCCTCGCACTTAATGTCAATAGGGGACTGCCGACTGCCCCCGGCGATGGGGAACAAGTTAGCCCAAGTGGAGGGACCTGAGGAACAGAGAAACAAGTATAATTAGAGTTAGCCTAACGCCTCAACAGTGTAATATAACGAGTGCTTCAAGACAACATAATACGTGCTCGCTAACACAGTGTGATAACTATGTTAATCACGAGACAAAATATTATTTGATAAGTAAACGTTTGTACTTTGTCCCCCCCCCCCCACCGTATGCTTGCAAAACAGTGGTGTATAGTGTAAGTCCCTATACATTATGGGAAGGTGGAAAACACGTAGTGTGGAACAGTATTACCTGTGTGGAACACTGACACCAGTCTGGAACAGTAACACCATTAAGGAAACATTGACATCAGTGTGGAAGGGCAGGACCAGAGAGGGACAGTGATATCATTGTGGAACAGATACCCGCGGGGTACATTGACACCAGACGGGGAGTGGCACCTAAGTGGAACAGTCCCCACCTAAGAGGGGACCGGTGCCACCAGAGGGGAAGAGTGACACCAGAGGGGAAGAGTGACACCAGAGGGGACCAGTGCCACCAGAGGGGAAGAGTGACACCAGACGGGGAAGAGTGACACCAGAGGGGAAGAGTGACACCAGAGGGGACCAGTGCCACCAGAGGGGAAGAGTGACACCAGACGGGGAAGAGTGACACCAGACGGGGAAGTGACACCAGAGGGGAAGAGTGCCACCAGAGGGGAAGAGTGACACCAGACGGGGAAGAGTGACACCAGAGGGGAAGAGTGACACCAGAGGGGAAGAGTGCCACCAGAGGGGAAGAGTGACACCAGAGGGGAAGAGTGACACCAGAGGGGAAGAGTGACACCAGAGGGGAAGAGTGACACCAGAGGGGACCGGTGCCACCAGAGGGGAAGAGTGACACCAGAGGGGAAGAGTGACACCAGAGGGGAAGAGTGCCACCAGAGGGGAAGAGTACCACCAGAGGGGAAGAGTGCCACCAGAGGGGACCGGTGCCACCAGAGGGAACAGACCGACGCCTTCAATAAGGGTGGACACCTGGTTGAAGGACCATCGATCAGGCAACCTATTATCACGTTGCAATTTGAGCCGCATTAAAAGGTCAGAAGTCGGTCAAGGTCAAACGAGACACTACTTATGCAAGATGTCAACATTTGACGAAGCTGGTTAGGCTACCCAGCTCATCTGAGGACGAAGCGGCTTAATTGGTTTCATATCTAATTTAGAACAATTATTTACTTTATGTGTAAAATTAAACGGGCAGCAAGAGAACATTATAATATGTACATTTCCATGTGACCAAATTTAAAACTATGATTCCTACTACTATGTGATCCAGAGGGATGAGAGAGGGCTGAAATGGAGAAAAATGATAGAGAGGGAGGAAAGATTAGGCTCCTGTATGCGTCGACAAATATGAATTACGATGACACAGCAATAAACACTAAATTTATTGTAAATACGACCATACATTTTTCTGAAAGCCGAAAATATACACCCTTATAATAAATATGTGCAATACAGACAACTCAGATACCTATGTACGCCGCCGCTCTCAGAAGCCTAGTGACCATAACTCTGTCTAGCCTCTCACTCGGTCTGGTTTCTTTATTTTGTATAACGTATTAAGGAACATACACGTTTCTGCAGCTACCACAGACTATAGAAGGATTACATAGTTCATGTCAAGGGCTATGTATGTGATGGTAAGGATACCCATCTCACAGGATGGTTGATCACACAGGGCCATGTGATCAGTCGCCTCTACTGGCAAGCTTTGGTTGCATTATGAGGATATCCTCATGAACACCGGAGTGGATAAAATAATTGCAAAGCTACACGTGGGGTCCACGGTTCGAGTCTCCTACAGCCCAGGTGAATGCAATTGCAAAAGCTCCTTTTTATTGCTATATTTAAGTACATGCACATTTATGCAGCTACCATAATATATATATATATGCGAACAAGCCTGAATGGTCCCCAGGACAATATGCAACTGATGCATATTGCATCAGTATTGCATGGACAATATGCAACTGATGCATTATATATATATATATATATATATATATATATATATATATATATATATATATATATATATATATATATATGCTGCCTGTCCCCGACAAAACGAATTATATGTATTATATGATTAGTAGTTTGCGCAGAATGAGAATTTTACTTTAGAACACGAGTGAATAAATGACAAAGCTCATACCAATAGGTCCCAAGGGTCTAATGACTGATAATTCAATAATGTGTGAGATTATGACCCAGTTCCTGCACAGTTTACACATGAAGTGCTCAGGATTAGGACGCATTAGGCTGGCTGGCCGCATGCCCATGCTGAGTGGTGCTCCTATCTGTCCCACCACCTCCTGTCCTCTCCCCTTCCCTCTCACCGTATTCTCACTCTCGCTCACTCGCACTCTCTTCGTCACAAGATATCGGTGGCAGGAACAAAGTCAGACAGGATAACCAAGGTATCTCCTCATCACTTCCAGGCCTTTGTTCTCCCGCTCCAGTTACTCTTGGAGCGCCCTTGTGGTCCAAGCGCAGTCAGCGCCAGAAACGTTCTGACGTCACACGCTCCTAGTCAATACTAGGCTCTGCGCAGTAAGCGCATCTCCTCACTCCTTCAGAGGAAGGCTAAGGAGGCTTCGTATCCCGGATAACTGATATATCAGATTTATATTTGAAGCACTAACACACAGCCCGCAGTATGCATACAACATACTGCAACATGCTCCACCAGCTGCCGTGGTATACAAGGAACATGTATAAACTATACATCAAGGAAGAAAGGTCATTTAGCCCAGCGTTCCTTTTATAAGTGTTTATAAGTTCTAGGAGATATGTTTGTCTTTAGCATCATGAGAAATAAATCCAGTTGGTTCCTGGCTTAATACACGTCCTAGCCTAACAATGCACATTCGTAATATTTGACAACTCATTCGCCTCGCGCGGAGTGCTTAAATATTTGGAGAAGCAGTTTGCGAGCAGCCTTACCAGCTCCAGCTGGTAAGAGTCCCTTACGAAGACTGGCAAAATAACCAAGCAGTTGTAGTTATCACTTAAAGTATGTGATATATAGATAATCTCACGTCAGAAAAATATTATTGCTTGTCGTCACAGCTTAAAGAGAGGTCTCGCTTGGGATTTGAGAGCTCTCGATGGGAACTAAAGAGCTCTCTCTGGATATTAAAGAGCTCTGGTTGTGTATTAAAGAGCTGTTTTTTGGTATTCAAGAGAGCTCTTGATGGGTATCGAGGGATATCGTTGGGAGTTAAGGGAAGTGAGGGTAGTGTGAGTTAAGTAGTGTGAGGGTACAGTGGAGTAGTGTGAGGGTACAGTGGAGTAGTGTGAGGGTACAGTGGAGTAGTGTGAGGGTACAGTGGAGTAGTGTGAGGGTACAGTGGAGTAGTGTGAGGGGTACAGTGGAGTAGTGTGAGGGTACAGTGGAGTAGTGTGAGGGTACAGGAGTAGTGTGAGGGTACAGTGGAGTAGTGTGAGGGTACAGGAGTAGTGTGAGGGTACAGTGGAGTAGTGTGAGGGTACAGTGGAGTAGTGTGAGGGGTACAGTGGAGTAGTGTGAGGGTACAGGAGTAGTGTGAGGGTACAGTGGAGTAGTGTGAGGGTACAGTGGAGTAGTGTGAGGGTACAGTGGAGTAGTGTGAGAGTACAGTGGAGTAGTGTGAGGGTACAGTGGAGTAGTGTGAGGGTACAGTGGAGTAGTGTGAGGGGTACAGTGGAGTAGTGTGAGGGTACAGGAGTAGTGTGAGGGTACAGGAGTAGTGTGAGGGTACAGTGGAGTAGTGTGAGGGGTACAGTGGAGTAGTGTGAGGGTACAGGAGTAGTGTGAGGGTACAGTGGAGTAGTGTGAGGGTACAGGAGTAGTGTGAGGGGTACAGTGGAGTAGTGTGAGGGGTACAGTGGAATAGTGTGAGGGTACAGGAGTAGTGTGAGGGTACAGTGGAGTAGTGTGAGGGGTACAGTGGAGTAGTGTGAGGGTACAGGAGTAGTGTGAGGGGTACAGTGGAGTAGTGTGAGGGTACAGGAGTAGTGTGAGGGTACAGTGGAGTAGTGTGAGGGTACAGGAGTAGTGTGAGGGTACAGTGGAGTAGTGTGAGGGTACAGTGGAGTAGTGTGAGGGTACAGTGGAGTAGTGTGAGGGGTACAGTGGAGTAGTGTGAGGGTACAGTGGAGTAGTGTGAGGGTACAGTGGAGTAGTGTGAGGGTACAGGAGTAGTGTGAGGGTACAGTGGAGTAGTGTGAGGGTACAGTGGAGTAGTGTGAGGGTACAGGAGTAGTGTGAGGGGTACAGTGGAGTAGTGTGAGGGTACAGGAGTAGTGTGAGGGGTACAGTGGAGTAGTGTGAGGGTACAGTGGAGTAGTGTGAGGGGTACAGTGGAGTAGTGTGAGGGTACAGGAGTAGTGTGAGGGGTACAGTGGAGTAGTGTGAGGGGTACAGTGGAGTAGTGTGAGGGTACAGTGGAGTAGTGTGAGGGTACAGTGGAGTAGTGTGAGGGTACAGTGGAGTAGTGTGAGAGTACAGTGGAGTAGTGTGAGGGGTACAGTGGAGTAGTGTGAGGGTACAGGAGTAGTGTGAGGGTACAGTGGAGTAGTGTGAGGGTACAGTGGAGTAGTGTGAGGGTACAGGAGTAGTATGAGGGTACAGTGGAGTAGTGTGAGGGAACAGTGGAGTAGTGTGAGGGTACAGTGGAGTAGTGTGAGGGGTACAGTGGAGTAGTGTGAGGGTACAGGAGTAGTGTGAGGGTACAGTGGAGTAGTGTGAGGGTACAGTGGAGTAGTGTGAGGGTACAGTGGAGTAGTGTGAGGGTACAGTGGAGTAGTGTGAGGGTACAGTGGAGTATTGTGAGGGTACAGTGGAGTAGTGTGAGGGTACAGTGGAGTAGTGTGAGGGTACAGTGGAGTAGTGTGAGGGTAGTGTGAGGGTACAGTGGAGTAGTGTGAGGGTAGTGTGAGGGTACAGTGGAGTAGTGTGAGGGTACAGGAGTTGTGTGAGGGTACAGTGGAGTAGTGTGAG